TCATATGTGCAATTTTTCTACTTATAATTTTATCAAGTAGACTCTACAAATAATTGCAAGACCATCTCCACTTAAGCATTAAGTGCTTCAACTAACCCTATTGCAAGAAATGTTTCAGCGAAGGTTAGATATAAAACTCTGTTTACTGTCCTGATATCTTTGAAGCATAATGGCCTTCTCTGAATATTTAGCAACATTTTAAGGTAGAAAAGCTCACCATATTCTTCTAAAACTTCTGGAAGGCTTATATCGTAGGAAACATTATTTTTCTGTTGCGCAGACGAGGGAGCCGACACTTCTTAATTTTTTGATGCCAAATCCATTTGTTTGGAAATTCAGTGTAGCGATAAAACCTTGCTTCATTACACTCATGATTGGAGTCTATCGAACCTTTAAGTTTCATTTTAGCCATATTCAATTCAGGTAAATGGATTGGTAAAATTGTCATGCCTGCACTTTGAGTTAGGATTTGATTTGTTTGATACTCATGTATATTGTGATGTTTTCTTATATAAGGACCCAAATATTTAACTTTTTTTTATTACATAATTATTTGGGATGAACCTGATTTTATATGGATCTTTTGGTTTTTATTAAATGGACATTAAAATTTTTAAATAATGTAGAGGATTATAATTTTGGTTTTTCATTAGATGCACGTTGATTTTTTTTAGGATATCTAACGTTTGTTAAGAAAAATAACATAAAGGATTATTACATAGAAATCTTATATTTATATTTGTTATTATTTTTAAACTAAACTAATTTTAAAATTTGAATGTTCTATAAAAGACAATAATAATATCTTATTTTGTTACTATAATTTTGCCAATTGAACTATGTGAAAACATATGTGTACGTAAATGGAGCACCACCTTTACAAAAAATATGAATTATTAGGTAAACGATTATTGTAATTTTGCCTACTCTGAAGTATATGAAAACATATGTGCATGTATTTCATATGTATATAATATTATAATATATATGTAGATATGTGTACATATGGAAAGTCACAATGGTCTATGATAGAGCTATAATAAAATTTATAGGTATATAATATAGTATTATCTATAGTATTATAATATATATATATGTGTATTAAAATCACCATGTTCAGCCCAAAATTCATTTACTATTACCCATATAGGTGAATAATAATATTAGGCCATTTGTAGTGCATCTCAGATTTAGCTATTAGTACATTAAGTTTTGTCATCGAATTAATTTTTTATTTATGGAAATATCACAAAAACTTTTTTGACATGTCATCAACCATATGTGTTAATAAATGTCATGTCACGATTACATCATCATTACACATCATCATTTCCATGTCACATTTAATTAGGGTAAACAAATGATTTTAACCAATCAGATTAAAATAAATCAATATTTTTCATTAAACTACATTCTTAATTAATAGGTAGAGGGTTATATTAAGAACAAAGAATAATACAAGGTAAGATACATACAGAACAGATACAAGGATATGATACAAAGATGGATATGGGGTAGGCTACGTGGTAAAACTAAAAAACATGACAACCTAAGTAGCTGAATGAATAACAAAAACACTCTGAAAGCAACAATTTTGCCACTGAACAGAGAGGGTAATTAATTACATTAATAAAAATTTGGTATACAAATATAAGTTTTTGGATAAATTTCCATGTATCTATTTATTAAAATTAAAAGAAGATCCCATTAGAAACTAATTTTCTTTCAGACATTAGTTATACTCAAAAATATACCACTTTCTCAAAAATAAATTCAGATATTATGTAATCTCACGAATAGAAATAAATAATATTTTACACATTTAACTTTAAATATAACTAGATTTGGTTTTTACAAAAAATGAAAGAAAAATTAAGACTAACATTTAGTAATAATTAATACTATGTTATCACTTTCCAAAATTTATAGACTCATGCAATATTGTTTGGGGGCATTTTCTGTGATGTGTATTGGAGATGTTTGTTTTTTTGTATGGTCAAATTTCAGGTCATTGATCCATCCACTGAGAGGATGATTAGTATTTGGTTGGGGGTGGGTGGAGAGGGGTGAGATCCTCAGAATCTGTGTACACAACTAGAAATATATACTCGAGATGATAAACTTGTAAGGGTTTATATCACTCGATCATTATCAAACTGACTGCAATCTTTTACTGTCCGTGAGGATCCCACCAAAATGCCTTACACTTCTAATAGGCCATGTAATATAGTGAAACATCACATTTCTATAGTAGGATGTATGTTCGCTAGTTTATTGAAGATACATGTAATTTCTTAGCCAGCATGAAAGTGGATCAAAAGACTCTTATGTTGTTTAGTACAAGATATAAAATATTTACTTAACCTGAAATGGTGTGCTCAATAGATATGGATGGAGGAGCACAATCTTGGAGAGGTATTCTCGGTAAGATTATCAGGGAATGTGTCTTGTTACAAGTATTTGTGGTGTTTTTGAGATATCATTTAGGTGTTCTGTAGGGAAGATCTTCTTCTCCTTCTCCTTTACCTTTTATTTATATATTTTGGACGGTCATTCCTATTGAATGTGCTAATCTCGTTGGCTGTTTGCTTTTTCCCTAGTACCAATTAAGCTTTGTATTGCTAGATAATTTTTTTTTATTTTCGGCACCGATCAAATCAGGCGTGTAATCTACATATAAGGTTATATGTAAATGAAGAATAGTTACAATTGAAAGAGAAAGTGATAAAACCATGTTCTAAGATGTGCATGCGTAGAAAGGCAAAAACTCGAGAGCTCTTCTCTCTCAAAAGGCGACTAGGGTTTTTGTCTTTGGCCGCTGCCGTCGGTGTGGCCTCTCGCCCACCGACGAGAATCTTCCTCTTCCTCACTCATTTTCCTTTCTCCTATGGCCGTTTGTTCTATGTTTGCTCTTCCGTCATTTCCTAGGTTTTCTCTAGATCCGTCGATGTTGAAGTTTCCTCCAGATCTGCTCGAGATTTCCTCTCCTCCCGATCCTCTGGAGCCTCCCGACCCACCAGACCCGCCGCTGCAATTTCTCCTCCAGATTCTGGTTTGACAACCTCTGGCTCAGCCACTGGTGTTTTTCGTTTCCTCTGGATCCAATCTCTCTGCTCTTGCGTGTTTCCCTACTGTTGTGTGCAGCACCCAGATCTGCTCCAGTTCTCAGTTGGCGACATGGCGTTTTTATGTGTGATCCTCTCCTTCAAAAGGTTTTGTCTCTGTGACTCCTGGAAACAAATTGCTATTGATTGGATTTTGCCTTCGCTTAGGCTTCAATTACCTCAGTATGAGGCTCATGTTACCTCATTATGAGGAATTTAGGCTTTCTTTAAGCCATCTTTTACCTCAGGATGAGGATGTTATTTTAAAATTCCTTATGTGTTCATTTTGAACTATTGGGTCTGTTGCATTGTTACATGTTGTTTCAGGTTTACCAGAGAAAGAGATATGCAAGAGTGTTGGCCATTCAGAGAAAGAGTTCACTGTCTCCTTCTGATGTCCTGTTGTTGACGACTTTTGTGACCTCACTATGTTTCGGTCTAAGCCCATTGAAGACTCCCAAGCATCTCTGTTGCTGCTGTTTCAAGAAGAAGTCTTTACCCTGGGGTTGGCGCTCAAGGATGTAATGCTACTGTTTCAAGAAGCCTTTACTGGGCTGTTGGCGCTGAAGTATGTAGGATTCGTAGGTTTCATCTTGCTACAAATATTTCCGGACTTGGATGTCTGCACTTTCTCCCTCGTGTGGGAAACGGATTTGAACAAAATAGCAGGCTTTCTAAGCCTTGTTATTCTCTTCTTTTCCATTTATCTTCTAGCTATGCTCTCTATTTGACTTTGCATCATCTCACTTTTTAGCATTATTGGTGTTGAGTTTAGAGGACTTCTCAATGTCTTTGATGGTTAAGTGTTATATCTGCATATATTACGTTTATGTTAGTTCTCCGATTTGCCTTTGTTGCATCGGTTCTGTTAGCCAGCTTGGCTCTATTATCATGTTTTGTAAACAACTCCTCCATTGTTGGAGGTTAAGTGATTTATAAAATGCCTATGTTGACCAAAAAAAAAAAAAAAATAATGTACATACGTTAAGTTACTCGGTCGATGCAAAAATTCAGTTGTAATTAGATCCAAAACAGAATAAAAAACGAGTAATAACACTTGTATATTTTTTTTTGATTTTTTGCTCAAAATAAATTAATAGATGTTCAATTTATTATTTTTGCGTTAAATCTAGTTAAAATGAAATGTAATTCATAAAAATAAACTTAAAAATTGGCTGATAGCTATATATTAGAGTTTTAAAAAGTTTCTTTGGCAGAAAGAAAAAAATAATGTACAAATTACAATATTATCTCATATAAATAAAAATAAAGGAAAATGGATAAAATTTTCAATATACGAATTTAACTTTTTATTTGTTGAATATTTTAACCTACACTATTTTTTCTTTCTTTTTTCTCTCCAAAGCACCCAACTAGTAAACTATAATAAGTTAATAACTAAATGAAAACTTACAATATATAAAATATATATAATCACCAAATATAATAATTTTATTATAATAATTAAAAAGAATTTTGAAAGTAATTCTTTAATACTTGTTGGTTGATTTATCTCTGATTTATTTAAAATAAATCGGTAGGTCCAAAGCGAACATCCGACTCACACCTAGTGTAAAATTTGTACCGATTTACTGATGATAACACTTTGGAGAGATAACTAGTGTTTTCTGAATTAAATGAAACAATGTACATCTCTTGTGGCAACGGTAACATTTCATCCGTTAAAATGAAGAGAAATTTTTTCACAGATTCTTGATGCTTCTCATTAATGAAGTGACATTTGTTTTTGGAATTTTGGATAACATCTTGTACTCCAAAGGTTTCAAGTGTAACCGTCTCCAAAATTAAAACAAACGAAAAGACTAAACAACAAAAAGACCCACAAAAGCTAAATTATTTACAAAAGAGCCATCAAATTCCAAAGGTAACCCACTTTCAGTCATCATCAGCACCGACCTCTTCATCGCCACCACTTACCGGCGATAAAGGCTCCGACAATTTCGTCGAATTTCGACAAAACCCATTACCCTGATTTCCACCTTCTTCCGCCGCCGAAACGACAAAATGCCCTAAGTCTCCAACAACCTCAATCAGATTCTCCTCACATAGAAACTCGTCACTGTAAACTCTTTCAATCTTTCTCCCGAACTCATGTACAAAAACATCCGTCTTCGTCTTCTTCTTCCCGGAATTTTTACTCTTCGCCAAAACCGCCGAAGTAAAAATCGGAGCCATTCGTCCCGGTGAATCTACGGCGTACCCACGAGGCCCATCAATCAAAATCACATCCCAATCGACCTCATAGACAAAATTGGGTAAATCGTTGATCCCCAATTTACAATCTGAGAACAATAGGTTCTGAACGGGTCGACAATCGGGTCGGGTTTTAGAATAACCCAAAAGCTTACCGGCTTGAGAGACTTTGGTCGAGAAAACGATGTCGTAAGCTTCAACTCCTGGATTACTCTGCTCGAATTTGGAAACGGCGTAAGGATTCTCGTCGACGAAGACAGTACGGCCATTGAAATTGATGGATCTCCAGAGGAGAGATTCGTGGGTTAGACCAAAGACGAGGAGGTTACAGGTGGGAGATTTGGAGTTAATGACGGTGGAGATGGCGGAGAGTTCGGGGAAGGACATTGAGGTGTTTGGTGGTGATGAGGAAGTGTAGTGGAGGAGTGCGGCGAGTATTGGTGGTGAGAAGTAGGAGGACGGCGAAGATGAGGAGAGAGAGTGGGAGGAGGTGTTTGTGGAGTGGAGTGAGGATGAGAAGAGAGAGAAAGAGAAGATGAGAGTGAAGAAAGAGATGAAGAAGATGAATAAGAGACGGTGGTGATTCGCGGCGGCGACGGCGGAAGCTGATTTTGAGGTTAGAGGAGTGTGGTGGTGGTGGAAGAGGATCAAATTAGTGTTTGTGTTGCTCTTCATTTTTTCTTTTTCTTTTTTCTGGATTAAACAAAAACAAAAAGAGAAAGAAAGAAGACGAAATGTGTTGGGCTCTCTGAGAAACAACGCTTTATATAATCCACCAAGAAAAGTAAATGTGTTTGTTTTCTAATTTCTTTGGTTTTTCCCCGAACCGGTAGTTTCGAAAGACCCGAAACGGGTGTCGTTGTCAGCTTACATAGTAGTAATTGCTAAGGTCCCCACATAACTATACTTTTGTTTTATTAATTATCAGAATTTTAAATTTTGAATTCGGTATTAAATTTAAACATATTTTTCCTGCAACCTTTGATCATCTATAATGGTGGAATTTCCTTTCATGGTCTACTTATTTTTTATTCTAAAAATAAATTCTTCAAAAGTAGAGAAAAACGTAAAAATACTGAAGGGGTTTATTAAAAAAGTAATTACTAATTAAAAATGAGAATATAATATTTATTTTTATAATAAAATAAAAGTACCATGAGAAATGGTTTTATATTAAAAATAAAATTTAAAAATAAAAATAGAATTCCATTAAAGATGGTCTTAGAACATCTCTAATGTATAATTGCATTTTTCATATCAAAATAAAATAATCAAAATAAAATAATTGTAAAATATAATTGGATTTTCTTCTAATATATGATTGTATTTTTTTATTTGAAAATTTATTATATGTAGATTCTTTTATTATTAATTGTTAATTATACACATATTTATCAAAATTAACAAATTGACCCATTCATTTAATTTATTTGATATTTATGATTTATGTTATTATATTTTCTATTAAATATATGTTACTTGCATTTTAATTTTAGAAACTAGAATGTTCAAGTATTTATAATCATCAATAAAAAAAATTATCATTACAATAATTATCTATCTTTTAAAATAAAAATATTTAAAATTTGAAGGATTAGTTTATAACTTTTAAAGTTCAATTGAAAAATAGAGTTCAAGATGAAAAGATTCTATATTTGCAATAAAAAATAAAATTATACTATTATGCAATTGAAAATAAGATAGGGTTGGAACACATTTTATTTTAAAATGAAATTTAAAGCCATATTTGATATAGGATTGGAGATGCTAGATGTATGATAGCATTTTTCATACCAAAATGAAACAATTATAAAATGCAATTGGATTTTTCTCCAATGTATGATTGCATTTTTCATTTGAAAAAGATTATTTTAAGTATATTCTTTTATTATTAATTACTAATTACACATATATTTTCAAAATTTACAAAATAACCCATTCATTTATAATTTCAAAAATTTCAATGTATTAAGATTTATGTTATTATATTTTCTACTAAATAAATGTTATTTTTATTTTAATTTTAGAAATTAGACGTTTTTATATTTATAATCATTAATCAAAAAAGAAATTATTATCAAAATACTTATTTATCTCCTAAAACAAAATATTAAAAATTTGAAGCACTAATTTATAAATAAAAAATTTCAATTGCAAAAAATGGAATTCAACATAAAATGATTCCATAATTGAAATCAAAAATAGCATTATAGCATTATACAATTGAAAATGAGATAGGATTGGAGTACATTTTATTCTAAAATGAAATTTAAAACCAAATTTTATATAGTGTTGGAGATGCTGTTAGCACTTAGAACTGTTAGCACTTAGAACTGTTTAGAAATTTAAAGCATTAGAACTATATCAAATCAGTAGAACTAAATAATTACTATAATAACATAAGTATTTTTTTATGTGTTGATAACTCACTTTTTTTGTGTTATTAAAAATTGACACATCAGCAAAATATTTTTATACATAAATTTACTTTTTTTTTTTTCAGTGATTTGCAATGCAAATCGGATCTAGTATGGATCTAAAGGTTACAAAGCAGTGGTGTGGTGGAGAGTGGGTTTTCGATGAGAATTCTCGTTGGAAGTCACTCTGGTGGTGGTGAGGACGGTGGTGTTAAATACAGTGGTGAGTTATCAGGTGTCTTCTCTTCCAAATGATCATTTTCCTCTTCTTTCGCATTCGTCGTCTTGAAGTAGGTGAAGCCCCTCCTTTGTCTGATGGTGCTATTTGTTCAGTTCTCTCAGTGGTGGTGGTTTTGGTGGTTGTGGCGATGGTCCTTCGTGACTGCTTTAATGTGATAGTCCAGCTTTGTTTTCCTCCCTTTCCCTTCTCTAGCGAGGTGGTGGCTCTGTGCCGCTTCTGTCTCCAGCGGAGGTTTTCTGTTCTGCCAGAGTTTATCACAGTCTTGCCTTTAGTCTGCGGTTGCTTTGTCACTAACTAGGGTTTCTTCTGGTTGGATTTAGTTTGGTCTTTGGTTTAGGGTTATCTTGAAGTGTTAAACCCACATTATTTTTTGAATTTGGGTTTCTCTCCAGACCTAACTTGGGATTTTGTTGGGAGTGTTATAAACCAAAAAACACAAAAAATTAATTAATGCTATTAACAGTTAAAAACATGGCTCAAGTGGTTGTTATTGAAGGATGACTTTTTGGTCAAAGATAAATTATCCTTTTCTAATCAGATGTAGTATAGCAAGATGTGTCAATCCAATTGTGGATGATGAGATGCAATATATGCACTAAGCTAAGCAACATGGTGATTTAAAGAAAGTGAGTAACCAATCTAGTAACCTAACAATGCAGGAAATTAAAACAAGAAATGTAGCTAAGCAAGTAATAATTGAAACTAAACAAGATGATGGACTGAAAGCAAGTAAACAAAAACAGCAAGATAATATGCGAATTTAACTAAGGAATTAAAACACGACTCGAAGTTCTAAGCAATGATGGTTAAGTGGCCAAAATAGTGATTAAGGGGTTACTAAGAACAAGGCATTCAAACAAGCAATCCAAGCAAGCATTTCTCAATATTGCAATCCTAAAAAAGGTGTCTAAAGAGAATCAGCTCATGGTGCATAAGACAAATTCATTTCAACAAAACTAGTGGGTCAAACCCACTTTTTGATGGTGTATTCACTAGCTGTGAGCATAAAGAAAAGAACCATAATTGTCTAAAAGAAGCACTAATCAAAGTGAACCTCTCTCTCTCAAGCAATGATTCTAGTCAACCTATCATCGGTTATGGTTCTTTAGGGACCTAAACAGCAGCTCAACAATTCAATTATATGACCTTGAGGCACACAAGAAGGAGCTGAAATCACTTCATGAAAAGATTGATAAGTTGGTACTTACAAATCAGAAGCATGTACACTTTGTGGGAGAGGCTACAGACGTTCTAGAAGAGTTAGAGCTGAGCCAAGAGGAAGCGAATTGGGTTGGAGGCCAAAACTATATTAAGCCACACGCCTATGTTCAAGGGTATCAAGGCAACAACAACCTGTCTTACCAAAGTACCAATGTGGAGAACCCTAAGGATCAAGTGTACCCTCCACAACAAGGAAAACCTTTTGTTCCTTACAACAAAGGTGGGTTTACATAAAACAGTGGGTACCAAGGGCTTACCCGAGAAGTGTGAGACAAACCCTAAGGAGTATGCCAATGCGATCACTTTGAGAAGTGGGAAAGAGCTACCACCACGGTCTATACCTGAAGACAATGAGGACATTGTGATTCAAGAGGGGGAGAGTAATCTCTCAAATGATCAAGAGATCACGTTTGACAATGTCTACATTGCAAGGCCAAAGAAAGGCAAGGAAGCGGTTCTAGAGAAAAAAGTGGAGGAAGTTAGCAAAAAGAAAGAAGCTTTCGTGCCTCCGCCTTAAAAACCAAAGCTCCCCTTCCCTGGACGTTTCAAGAAGCAGTTGATTGAGAAGCATAAAGCCTTGTTTGAGAAGCATATAAGGAACGTTGAGATCAAACTGCCGTTGGTTGATTGCTTAGCTATGATGCCAAAATATGCCAAGTTTTTGAAGGATACTCTTGCTAAGAAGGAGAAAGAGAGTGATGAGGTCTTGGTATTGAGTCAATAATGCAGTGCAATCATCCACAAGGAGATAGCTCCAAAGAAGCTAGGAGACCCGGGGTCATTCACTATACCTTGTGTACTAGGCCCTTTCAAGTTTGAGAGTTGCTTACGTGATCTAGGAGCAAGCATAAACCTTATGCCTCACTCTATTGCCAAAAATATAGGCTTCACCAAGTTTAAGGAGTGTAGAATCTCACTCATTCTGGCTGACCGAAGTATAAGGCTCCCTGTAGGCATGCTTGAAGACTTACCCGTGAGGATTAGCAATGTGAATGTGCCAACAGATTTTGTAGTGCTAGAAATGGATGAGGAACCAAGAGATCCTCCAATCCTTGGTAGTCCGTTTCTAGCAACTGCTGGAGCCATCATAGACGTAAAGAATGGCAAGATTTCTCTACACCTTGGCAAAGACATCAAGCTGAACTTTGACATTAATGAAGTCTTGAAGAAGCCAACGATTGGTGGCAAGCGTTCTACATTGAAACTTCGGATGAATTGGCTGATGAGTTGCTTGAGGAACTGGCACAAGAGGATCATCTACAGCTAGCTTTGATAAAGGAGTGTGGAGAGTATGGTTTCTTGAGTGAACAAACCCAGGAGTATGTGCGCATCCTTGATTCTCGCAAGGTTGTGAAAGAAGATGAAGGCGAGTGCCTAGAGATCGACCTGGAGATCGATCATATCACTCGATCCAGGAAAGGGATCGATAAGATAATCGATCGAGACATCTCGATCTGTTCAGAGAACGACCTCGTGAATCGATCTCCTGCTCGATCCATATCCAATCG